TAGTTTGTAAAGGACTTACTCAATCCATACATGTTTCATCAGCTCTAGTCTTTGCATATATTAAAGATAGTTGTGTTTATCCCCACACTTACATTCGTGGACTCTTCTTATTTCCACAGAGGAGTGCATTCATACTATGCATGCTTGTTTTAATTTCTGCTCCTTACAGTCTCCATCATGGAGCCTCTGTTACCAGGAGAGTCTGGCCAGTTCATAGCAGAGCAGAGTCGGGATGTGTTTGTCGAGGATGAAGGAGTGCAGAAGGTGGCGGAGATGCTTTACGGTCTCCAACACAGTGACGAGCTGACAGCCAGTGGCTGGAAGAAAGCAAATCCATTGGCCCCAGCACCCACATCTGACCAGGGGAGTGTACTAGTACCCAGGCTATGAAAAGATTCTTCATAGTATACAGTATTGTGCAAAAGTGCTGAGCCATCCTTCATTTCTTTATGTTTTGCTTCCAAGGAGCCAGAGTTTCTTGCAATGTTTTAAAATGGTTTTAAGCAATAGTTCTTCAGTCCTTCTGAAAACCTTTCAGAAGATTTTCTTCCATCATTTTCATCATTTTTTTTCCACCAGTTTCTGGTTTTCTATCAGTCCTGAATATCCCTATCTACTGTCTCTGTCTTTGGCGGTTCATCAGTTTTCCCTCCAGATGTCGACCTCTGTGTGTTCCCTAGTTTTTCCCTTGGTTATACCTATATATAAGTTAGACCAAGCATTATATCTGCTATAGTCAGGGGTGCACATAAGTGGTCCGCAGGTGCGCATTCACTGTCAAAATAAAAGACGCGCACCAGATAAGAAGTTGCAATGCGCGTTTGCGTCCATATAAAAGGCACTGTTTTTTTCCGCTAGAGTGGGATTTTCACGGCATATTCTGCACCACATCTCTGTGTGTTCATCATTTGTTTGAAGCCAGCTCACCTCCTGCAACCACTTTTCCAAGAATACGCGCTTCTTTTGCGGTTCGGACTCCTTCTGACATTTCGTTGGAGGTGGAGGAAAACCAAAGTAATTGCTTAAAGGAGCTTCTTCGACATTTTTAAGAGTTCTAAACAAACGTCTGTCCTCCTCCAGAAAATCTTATGTACGCAAATGCGCGTTGCAACTTCTTATCTGGTGCGCGTTTTTTTTATTTTGAAGGCGAATGCGCACCTGCGGACCACTTATGTGCAGCCCTGACTATAGTGCTATGCCGAAGTCTTGAGTCACCCCTCATTTCTTTATGTTTTGCTTCCAGGGAGCCATATTTTCTTATAATTTTTGAAGTGCTCTTGAGACATTCCCTTTTAAGCTGTCTTTGGGCATTGGCTGCTTTTTCACTTCATTTAAGTCCGGTCCTTGTACCTAGCCATAATAACTTAGTGGTTATTATTGTGAAATTTAAAAAAGAAAAGAAAAAAGGTTTTAAGGGGGGTTTATTTAATAGTTGCAGCTAATCAGGTGGTGAGATTGTGAATATGTGTTGCTTTACTCTGTTTTATATTACCATAAATATAAAGTATTAAGGTTTTCAACTGTTGTCTGGACACAATGAAGGATTTATGAAATGATTGTATCTACTGACATCCAGAATTAATCAAAAAGACAGTAGCTGCAGTGGTCTTTGATTGTATTTTGTATGGGTACAGGTTTTTAAAATATTGACTAAAACACTAATTTAATACAAAATTTTAAAACCTCAGTTGAGAAACCCTGTCTCTTTTGGACAGTGTGTTACAGTATATTCACTTTTCTTTCCTTTTTTTTTGTATACTTTCTTAATAATTTGTGCAATTTACCACTGCAGGCATTGAACTGGGTATTTGTAGTAGACACCATGAACTTTTCCTTTTGGCCAGAGGAAGAAACCCAGCAATGTGAGGTGACTTATAAAGGCACCACATACACAGGCTACATGACCCTGTGTGCTGCCATCACCAGAGCCATGGAAGAAGGTAAGAGTACATACCTGTACATCCACTTAGTTACTATATTATACAGACTTATAGAAAATAGCAGTAGGCAACTCACAGCACTTTCTATTTTAAGGTAAAGACTCTTCAGCTTTATACATAGAAAGCCAGAAATGTAACAATCCTTGATGAGCATAAACATGAAGGATGGAAATGTCAGATTTATAAATTGTTTGCCGCTGTGACTGTTTGCAGCAAAGTTACAACCATGCTCTTACCTTTACTTCATACATAATTTTAGGTGTTTTAATCCTAGTCTCTGGAGAACAAAATGTATATTTTGATTGTCCCTCTATTCTGTGCAGTTTTGTTATTACCCATTATCGTGTTTGTGCCCTTTATTTGAACTACAACTGCTGGGAAATTGCTTGTAGCTCTGCATGTGCCTGTGCATCATTTATAATTAGCATGAATGACTCCGGATATGAATCAATTATGTCTCATATGGAATAGCTCTCAGTGTGTGGTCGCCATGGCCTTTATAATTACAAGAGATTTTCTCAGAAAAGCACAGGTAGTTTGGCTCCAGTGTGAATCTCGGGGTGGGGGGTTGACAGCGTGAGATCAGAGCAAATTATGTATTTTGAGTCTATTGTGAGCAATGGCCACTGTCAAGTTATATTCTTATTATTGCACACCGAGGGTAGCTCCTGTTTTAAGATTAATCCACCTAGCACCTTCTCTTCTCCACACTCCACAGGTGTACCTATTACTGATCCAAAGTATTTCTCTCAGATGAACGTGGAGGAGTTGGGACGTGTCCTTCGGTCAGACAATGAAACACCCATGCCGATGCTGCGGGAGCGTCACCAGGTTCTGATATTAATACGATATTCAAATAATGATTCAATTGGTCAATATATGGATTTCAGTAATGCTTCAGTTTTGATTTTACTTTGCTTTTTTACTTTCTTTAAATCTAAAAGCTGTCTTTTCAGTCAGGGCAGTCTCAGCATTTACAAAATGAAAGGAGTGCTTTTTAAAGCAACAGTGACTTTTTCTTTTAGAAATAAACAAGGTTTTACATTCCTCTATTCAACATCATGGTACATATATTCATATTGGGCACATTTTTCTGCCTTTCTTTGTATGAAATGTCAAATTTTATTTTGATATTAAGCAAGAAAAGTGATTTTATGGTTCAATTAATTATTGAGTCTGTTAGTTTTGTTACATTTATAAACACAAATTTAAATTGTGGCGCTTTCTGCCTGTTACATTTAAAGAAGCCACCTGCTGAATCTTTTTAACAAGGTGCTGACAGAAGGCGGCCGTGTGCTGCTGGAACATGGTGGAAGCTTCCGCAGTTTTATCAGCCAAGCCGGAAACGACGCCCAGAAGATGGTGGAGCTCATTGTGCAGAAGATCCCCTCGTACAGGGATGAGGCTACATATGAGGTGAGAGTTTAGCAGGATCATTGTACAAATTAGGAACCTCTTCTAATTGGGAATGTGCAAAAAATAAAAGAGACGCCCTCTATTTGCTGCACTAGTTTGGCTTTTCAGAAATGTCAAGTTGGTACAAGAGGAAAGGGTTGGAATGATTAACTTATTTACAGGTTTTTAGATACTAATACAATCACTTATGGTTGAATAGGTCACAGTGAGCAAGCATAAAACTGTAATTTCCCCAAATATTTGGAAAACTGATCTTTTTATTAGTACGGAGCATAAATACATAACTGTGCAGATACTTTGAGTTTTCAGCCTAATGATACAGCCTGTATATTGCTTTATAGATTATGCACAATGCATAATACATATTAAATGCATATATGAAATATATGTGATCAAATATATGCATTTGGAGAATTTAAAATAAATTGTGATGTGAGAGTTCCACCTCCTGGTCAAATACAGTGCAGCAACACTGATGCTGTCAGTTTATTACACAGTCAGAGGAGAGCATTATACTCTTTGACGTTATTTCTTTAATTTTATATTTGTGTAAGAACACCTGCCAAATTATAAATATTTGTGGCCTAAGGACAAATACGATGTTGATATTTTGTCACTTTCTTGGTTGCGTAAGGGTAAAAGGATTTCATTCTACAAGCGAGCCCAGATTCTTGTGGCAGATTACTGGGGCCTCATGGCGGCCAGAGGACAGGGTGACATCATTAACATGGATTGGCTCACCATGTTTGCTGACTACAGGGTTCCTCAGGCGCTTGTCTACTTAGGAGCTCTACGATACTCTGATACGCTGATGCAGGCGTTGAAGAACGGTGAGACAGTAGTGTGTCTATGCACTTGTTTCTCTTACTGAAGATAATATTTCAAATCACGAGATATAATTGCTTTCAGGTGAGCTTCTGTCTTCAGGAGACCGGAGAGAAGTAGAGATCCGAGGTTGTTCCATTTGGTGCGTGGAGCTGATCAAAGACCGTCTCCACAAGCTGGTGCAGGAGAGAGATGGACAACCCTGCAGTGTGAACTCGGTTATCATCGACTTTTACCTGTGGCCTTACGCCAAGCAGCACCACAAAGAGATGGCCCACATTCCCATACACCACACACGCTGTATTTACTATTGATGAGCTGGCTGGCAGCCGTACATACAGGAGGCTGCACTTCTCAGTCTGCCGCTCGCTGGGCTGAAGCCAAGCACATCACTGTGCCAGGTATACATACAAACAGACTTCTCTTTGGCTGCAGTGGAAACAGCTGTGAAGTGTTAATGCAGCGTGTCTTTCTGAGTGGGCACTGCTGTTCATTTCCGGTCTCAAATATGTCGGTCATATTTTCTCACAAACCTCTCGATGTGGAGAAAATGATCATATTATGCCAATCTGCGTATGCTCTGCAAGTATATAACAGTCTAACAATAAATATTCATCAAACTGGAGGAGGATTAGAGTACTTTGGTTTTTGATACTGTCTTTCTTTTTTAAAAGGAGTGTAATCAGAGTGTTTTTTAAATTCAGTGTAGTCAGTATTATGCATTTCATGAGTGCAAATGGATAAGCCCGATGTTAACATGCAGCTCTTTTTACTTCTCTCTTTTTTTTCTTGGTAACATAAAGCCTTTGGTCATTTCTCTTTTCAGTGAAATATTATTTAATACAAGTTATATAGAGGCATCTTGCTTTCTGCTCCTCTTTGAAAAGGGAACAGAAAAAAGTGACAGCCTTCACTGAATATAGCAAAAATGTGATGAAAGATGGAAACCTTCCTCAGATGAGAGATTTCTGCAGTCTGCATAATGAAGGAGTACAGATATTGTGTTAAGCTGAATATTGAGAGGCTTAAGCTAAAATTTGAAATAATAATAAATTATCTAGCAGATGCAGTCTGCCTGAAAGGTATACTGTATTATTAGGATGACAGCGTGTGGTATAATAGATTTCATGTATTTTCTTCGTGCCAGCTGAGTTTGTTAGATGGGGTGCTCTGCTGTTGTCCAGTAAGTGATGCAGAAGGTGGTCAGGATTACCCATGACCCATCGCACAGTTTGTGCAGTGATCTCCTCTCCACCACAGCTAGAATAGTGTCCAACTTGCAGCCAATCACAGAGCCTGCCGTCCTGATCAGTTTATGCAGTCTGTTGGTGTCACCAACTCCGATGCTGCTCCTCCAGCAGACCACAGTGAGGTAAGCTGCGCTTAGCACAACAAACTGTAGGAAAAGCTCCAACATTTTGCTGCACACATTGAAGGATCTCAGCTTCCTTAGGAAACGAGTGTGCTCGTTCCCCTCTTGTAAACAGCTTCTGTGCACTCCTCCACTTTATCCCAGGACAGACATGGCCTGTTTCACCACACTATACCTTTGAACATGGAAACATTTCTGTTTCAGAATTCTTGTACATCTAAAAGAATACGTATTTATCCAGAATGACCAGACAAAAAAATTAAACTATACACTCATACTAACCACTAAGCAAATGCCTGTGTAAATAAAACTGCTCTATACCTTTGTAAAGTAGAAACTGAAATCTTTCGAATTGGAGAAGACTTGAGTAAGAGCTCAAACCTCTTCGCAAACTTAAAGAAGTCCGGTCGTCTTAAAAATAGAGTTAAATAACAATTGGTTGGTTGTCTCATATGATCGGTTTCGCTGTATGGCAAATGAAAGTCATCATATCTTAAAAAGACCTAACAAATCTATAAATCAAGTAAATCTCAGACTCCTGATGGCGCTGTCGCCTTAACGGCGCCGACTTCCACGAGTACTCTTGAACGTCCCACTTCCGGTTTCATAACGGCGGCGGCAGCGGTTTCCCGGGCAACCGAGGACCGACAACAAACGAGATGTCACAAAGTTTAACAAGAGCGCGACAAGCGATTGCCCGAAAAAAAGTGACCAGGTGTTACGGTGAATTTGTGTTTATTGAGTCTTGTTACTATCGAGATAAACAAGTTAAAGAGCTCCATTAAAGACATCAGGACGTCATGAGCGAAGGGTGTGTGCGGGTGGCGGTCCGTATCCGGCCTCTGCTCCCCAAAGAAGTCCTCCACGACCACAGGGTGTGTGTGCGTGTAGTGCCGGGGACCGGACAGGTGATGGTGGGTGAGGACCGACTCTTCACCTTTGACAACGCGTTTGGACCATCAGTCAGCCAGGATGAGGTGTACGAGTCCTGCGTCCAAAGCCTGGTGGAGCGTTTGGTCGACGGTGAAAATGCAACCGTTTTTTGTTACGGGCAGACCGGATCAGGCAAGACGTACACACTGGGCAGAAGGAGCCGAGGTAATGTGAAGTTTAACCAAAAAAATTGGTTAAGCTCCAACACAGAGCTTAACCACTCTGACTGATAAGTGACTGATGAGTTCATGGATTGTAGGAAAAAGGGAACTAAGGGGTTCAGGGGGTTGTTTATTTAATGTGGAAAAACCAACATCTGTGGACTTGAGTCTTTAAACACAGCAGTTTTAGGAGTTTTGTTTGTGCTCTCCAAGGCCCATTAATCATCTGAACTTTCTAACTTCATAACTGTAATTCTCTTTTTCCAAAACCTTCCATAGATGAAGAGGGGGGAATTATTGACCACGCAGCCCAGGATCTGTTCCTATACCTGGCGGAGAAGAGGAAGGAAAGTGATGTTGTGGATGTCACAGTGAAGGTGTCCTACATTGAGGTCTACAGGGAGGAACTAAGAGACCTATTGCAGCTGCAGACCACCCACAAAGAGCTTCGTATCAGGGAAGATGAGAGGGGAAACACGGGTAATCAACTTTTTCTACCTTTACTTTACATATATTTTAATATTCAGAGTGGAAATAAAAAAGTAGAAACCATACACTTTCAGAGATGACAAACAGTATCCTATATTTTTGACCATCCATCTGAGTTTCATCCGACTGATAGACCGATTGTGATGTTATTAACATGTATGTATTTCAGGATAAAAAGTTTGAGAGAGCGCACTGGAGAAATCACAAGTACTGCGAAAGATATTATATACTGTGTAATCATTTACAGTCAGCGACTCTGCGGTGCACCTACTTGTAATAATATGTAATATAGTTTTCAGCACATTTAATGAGTGAATGATAAATGATCCAGTGAGATTAGGCATTTTGTGTGAATGTCTGCCTACAGGGGAAGCAACAGTCTTGTTTCATTGACTAAAAAGTCTCTTTGTGTGATTCCAGTGGTGGTGGGAGCCAATGAGGTTGTTATCACCTCAGCAGAGGAGCTGCTCAACAATGTAGAGATGGGAAATATTTTCCGGCACACCGGCACCACTGGAATGAACGAGCGCTCTAGTCGCTCTCATACCATCCTCACCCTTCAGGTCATGTTATCCTACCACAACAGCAAGAACTCTTCCTTTAAGTCTGTCCGCTCCTCTAAGCTCTGTCTGGTTGACCTGGCAGGCTTGGAACGTGCTGGAAAAACTGGGAACACCGGGACACAACTGAAAGAGTCTGCTCATATCAACACAGACTTGTTTGCGCTGGGCAACGTTATCCGTGCACTTTCAGAGCTAAGTCGAAATCGGCACACTAACAACTCCTGCAGTGCACACGTACCATATCGTGATGCCAAGATAACTCGACTCCTTCGTGACTCATTAGGAGGCAGCACCCACACGCTAATGGTGGCGTGTGTAAGCCCCTCCGACCACTTTGTAGCTGACACCCTGAGCGTCCTGCAGTTTGCATCCACGGCCCGATCCGTTCAGAACCGTCCAGGAGAAACACCGGATCAAACAGAGGTTAAATCATGCCCTACTACAACCTGGCACCCCAGTGATGCTCGACTAGGGGAGCTGGAGTATGAAGTAGAGACACTGAGAGAGCTGTTGAAAGGGAAGGAGAGAGAGGTGGAAACAGAAAAAGCAAAGACTGGTCAGAGATATGAAGAGGGAAGTGACATCAATGCATACTGTCAGACCGAAGTATCTGAACCAGATAGGACAGCAAGCCGAGAGGAAACGTCACAGTACCGTCTGTTGGCAGAGGAAGCTGCTGCTCTGCTTGAGAATATCTCTGGCCCCTCTCCAAGTCCTTCTTTCAGGGAGCGGCTGGAGGATTGGCAAGAGAGACTCAGAGCTGTCAGTTACTCACCTCCAACTCGTATGGAGTGTTCAAAGGAGGAGGGAGACCATTTTGCTCCATTAAACCTCAGAGAAGAGCTTAAAAAATGCCAGGTAACTATAAAAGACTTTAAAAGGGATGTTGCCATGAAGAGATCGCAAAAACTTTGATTACAAGCAATTGATAAAAGTAACGCAAAAAACCTCAGAGATTTTTATTTGCTTACCTTGAAGCCTAAAAGATGGCTAGTGTCTCCAACATGTGGACATGCCTGTCACATTAAACAACAACAAAGGCATGTAAATGAGCTTGGTGTCTTATATATATTACTGTACCCTCATAGATACCTGTTATTCAGAATAGGAGAAGCGTATTCAGACTGAAAGCATTCAAACTGCTGATGGAATTGCCGTTAAAGAACTGAAGTCTAATATGGATTTTTTTTTTTAAAACCACTGACATATCTAATGTAAACTAAGAATGACTGCATCCCGTTTAGATTTGAGGCTGTAGAAAGAAGTGAAGCCATTGGTATATCATTGGTTATTCCTTTGTTTCCGTTACAAGTTGTCAACATTTCGTCTGGAATATCTTATCCTCTGAGAGCTTTTGATAAGGTGATGTGAACAAATGCAGCATGGCTCAAATGGAACTGTTTACATAAACAAAAGCCAAGCTGTACAATTTTATAGGCTTGCTATCCTATCCAGTTTCTCTTTTGTATGCTTAGGAAGCTCTCCACATAGACGAGCAACTGTTGGAGCAGAAAGATGCAGAACTGAGACGGGTAAAGGAGGAACTCGAGAAACTCCTTCAAGAGAGGAAAACTCACCTTATGTCGTTAGAGGAAGAAAAGCAGCGATTACGTATACAGGTGAGGAGGAGAACACTGCAATAAAGAGCTGCTCTGTGATGCAGAAATCAGTATATTTTATTTACGGGAAAAAAAATTAAAAGATGAATTTAAGGCATGTCTGCTGTGTTATCGTTTGTTCTTTAAATGTGCGCCTCTGTGCAAATGTTTAGACAGAACAACTGGTGAACCAGCAGATAATGATTGATCGCCTTCGTGGCGAACTCATGACCTTTCGGGGGACAGCCTCAGGGGCAACAGTGGAAGTGGGGAGGTCTGAGTACAAGAGACCCCACAGTGTCCCTCTGATCACACACAGCTGCATGTGGAGGCCTCCCAGGAAGGTAGGTAACTGTGGGTAGTGTGTGGGTTAGGTTGGTGTCCATAAGTGTGGGTTTTTTTATTTTTGTTTTTGTTGTTTTTGTTTGGTCTGTTATAATGTTTTTTTTGTGACTTTTATTATCTGTGCCTGTGCCTTCTAGATTCACTCCAGTCCACCAGCCTATACGCTGGAGAGGGTAATGGCAGCTTTTAAGATGCATGGCCAACTCTTGCTGGCTGAAATCAAGGAAAAAGAGGACGTGTACTGCCCGCTCTTAAAACAGCAGGCAGAGAGCAAAGATAGCAGACCAGAGATGGAGGAAGAGGATGAGAATGACACATCTATGCGCAGACCGAGATTTAGGTGAGAGCAGCATTCTTACTTGTGCAAAAATAAGTAGTAAGTTTCAAGTAACTTACACTCCAAATGCTGACTTAACTAATTTAACTACATGTCAATTTTCTCTGTAATTCTGTTACATAAATACAGTGCAATATGCTAAATTTATTGGTTAAATGAAATTTACATGATTGGTATAGAATCCCTAATGATTAATTATTTGAATAAATAAACATTTGATTTTATATATTTAAGCTGCATTTTATTCACAACTATTGCTTTATGTTTATTGAGGCTGAAGAATCTTTTTTAGTGTATTCTGCTAAACAAGCAATCCCAAAAATCTGAGGCATTAAATCATTTATTCATGTCTAAGGCAATTTAAGCTAAATGTGTAGTGCGAGGATGGACTTTGAAGAAGTAAAAAGTTGTTTTCTTCAGATGCTGCTGCATTTATTCCACGCCGCTTTTGCACTTTGCATATCAATTTTGGGAAAAGGGCTGGATAGTGTGTTGTGTGTACTTGAAAATCCAGCGACACGCTGCAATTTTGCTGTCAAGGATGACTGCATATTGTGCTGCTAGGCAGCGACCTGTTCAGACAACAAACCACTCTTCACTTGGTTTGTGCAGCCAAGCAAACGTCTCACAAAGGCAAAAACATCTAATGTCAAGTTTTTCAGTTTCTCTTTTTATTCTTTTAGATTTTTTTCGATTTCTCTGCAGGTTTGAACCGGCAGCTAAAGCAAGTTTTGCACTTTTTAAAGTAACCCTCTTGGTTTGATCATCTTCCTCTGCATTTGTCACATATAATGAAATAAGGAGTCACCATGTGATCCTGAATTGGATGAATGAATCTATTTGCCTCATCAATTGTCAGTGAAGGACATTAAACTGTACGGAAAGTGTTTATTTGAAGAGTGTGAGTGGATTTTAATTGAAGCAAATCTCTATATAACGCTGGGATGTCAAACTCATTTTACATCGAGGGCCACATCCAGACCCACTTTCATCTTAAGTGGGTCTGGATGAGTGAAGCTTTCTGTGTAAAGCTATTTAATGACATATTTAATACCTGAGATATCTTATATAGCATGTCTCTGTTTTTCTACATGAAAAAATGTGTAAAATAGAGAAAAGGTTCTGGTAGATCACTATGAGGT